CCCATCACTTTGGGGTGTGCTCATTTATTAGGGATATGTTTCTAGGGTCTTTGTAATTCTGTCCATGTGCTGCTTGTGTTATTTGTGTTTCTATACAGAGCTGTATCTATCCCTTCTGCAAGTCCTTACCCCCAGTGGAGCTATCTTGCAGGACTCAGTTTCAATGGGACTGGGTTCCACCAGTCACCAAATCAGTCATACACACAAACGCACACAGATTAACGTGACATGCCTGACCCTGCTGGGTTGATCAGCATGGACAGGCTGACACCCTCATATGCCAGGAATCAATTCATTAAGGTAGCAATAAAATGCAGTCAGACACTAGCACACAAATAACCAGAATACCTCTGAATCTAGCTGGGTGTCTAGCTGACACCCTCATGGGCCAGCATTCAGTTTATTAGGGCACGTCTGAGCCAAACTGGGTCAATCAGCCTGTACATGCTGATCCTCTTAATGTGTTTCAAACTCAGCACGTCCCAATCTTTTGCCCTAACTGTCTTAGTAATGGTAGCCTCTCGATGAGCAGACCCCACAGTGTTTCTGGGCTTCACAGGGATCTTTAGCTTAGGTAAAAGAAACGTTGCTGCAGAGCAAGTGGGGAAGGAAAGTAGAGAAGGAAACGTGCATCCGGTTACTACCAGTTTGACTATAAACATTATTTATTGCTAAGTATATGACATTTATAACGGTACATGGTAATAGACACGCAAAGGAAAACAAACAAAAACAATTGCAATACTACCCTGGTTTCACTAAGTATTTGGGGAAACCTAGCTCAAGCTTAACTAATACAATTCAGGTTCAGAAATCTATGCCTAGAAAGGAGAGAGAGAGAGAGACCAAGACCTGGGGTCTCACCAGTCCAAGGCACTCGTGTTCCAGTGCTGACAGGTAAAGTTCTTAGCACAATCCTTGAAGGGAGACTATCTGTTTCTTCCAGCTTCCCGAGAACAATAGCAGATGGTGTCGGAGAGATTTCTCTTGAAGTTCTCCGTTTGCTGATTTTACAGCTTTTTAAACACTCAGTTTAGATTCTTCAAAGCATTGTTTTAACTGTGTAAATAATTGTCTTTTCTATTGACAAGGGGTTATCTGGTTTGGAACATCTCAAGAATCTGATTAATGAACAAAAACATAAGTTTTTAAGGAGTAACCAGACACTTAGGAGCCAGCTTGAAATTTTTATGGATAGCAGATATACTGGATGGGGATACCTCATTGCTTTTCTCAGATAGCTTGCAGCATCAGGGTTTTGTATTTTTACCTGTTGTGAATAAGCCTCAGCTTAGCATGACTTTTCCAGATCTTACTGTAGTCTTTTAACAGACTTAAGGGGATTATTGGAGTGTTCATAAACTTTGTGGGGAGGACTTACACCAGTCATCCAGGGAAAAGTATGATAGCATTTGTGGTCAGGGCTCCAATGGGCTGGACGTTGTGATGAACCCTTAACCATTGTTCAAATGTTGCCCATACCCCCTCTGACTCGGTCTCTTGCCTCAGCATTCCATAACCTGGTGACCGAGTTTTAGTCAATCAAGTTTAAATAGGCCTCCCATAGTGGGACCGGGGAATGTACGGCCCGAAATGCCCATTAAACTTTTCTTCTGCTTAGTTCTGGTTAAATGAAGTGGGTGGGTGTGTGTGTATGGCGGGGTGGAATAGAAAAAGTCCTTTGTAAGTCCAGCAAGTTGGGTGCCAGGACTCCCTTGGGAACACAGAGCTGACAGGTAACAGCATCGACACCATAGTCGCTTAATTTTTTAATGAGAATGGGGTGAGAGAGAGTGTCAAAGGCCTTCCTGAAGTCCCGAAAGACTATGTCCACCGCAACACCTGCGTCTCAGGATTTTGTGACCTGGTCATAGAAGGCAACCAGGTTGGTCTGATAGGACCTGTCCCTAATGAACCTATGTTGGTTGCCCCTAAGCATAATCTCCCCTGCTTCCCCAGGACCGAGGCAAGACTAACCAGCCTATAGTTTCCTGGGTCCTCCTTCCTCCCCTTTTTGAAAATGGGGACCACATTGGCCTTTTTCCAGTCCTCTGGCACTTGGCCAGAGTACCACGAGCGCTCGTAAAGCCGTGCCATGGGTCCCGCAATGACCTCTGCCAATTCCCTCAGCACCCTGGGGTGGAGATCATCTGGACCTGCTGATTTGAACCCATCCAGTCCCACCAGAAGTTCCCTAACTAGGTCCGCTCTGACCCTAGGCCTGGCTATGCCTCTCCTGAGTCCGTCTGGCATCCCAGTGTAGGGGATGTCCCAGTCCCTGCTCAGAAAAATGGAGGCAAAGAATTTGTTAAAGAGCTTTATCGTCTGGTGCAACCACCAGATTGCCAAGCGTGTCCTGCAGGGGCCCCATGTTACCTGGTGCTTTCTTTTTACTCCCTATGTATTTAAAAAAGGACGACTTGCTATCTTTGATCCTGGTTGCTAGCCCTAGTTCTGTCTCCGCCTTAGCCTTCCTAACAGCCCCCCTACAGTCTCGAGCAGTGGAGGTATAATCCTCCTTGGTGATGGTCCCTCCCTTCCATTGGGTGTATGCCTCCTTTTTAGCTTTCAGACATTTCTGAATGCCTTTGGTGAGCCATGGGGGCTTTTGAGCACTCTTGCCCCCTTTGACTCGCATTGGGACTGTCACCCTTTGGGCTTGGAGGATAGTCTCCTTAAGGAACGACTACTCGTCTTGGACTCCCAACTCCCTTACCCTCTGGGACCTCAGTGCCTCCTCGACTGATCTCCTTAACTCATTGAAATTGGCCCTTCTGAAGTCAAGGGCTGCTGCCTTTGGTGGATAGTGGATGGTGAATTCCAGTAGGCAATGATCACCATCTCCCAGGTGGTTGAGAACCCACAGTCCCCTCACCAGCTCGTTGCCTGTGGCCAGGACCAGGTCCAACAAGGCATTTACCCTGGTGGAACTGTGTACCTCCTGGGTTAGGTGGAGGTCCTGTATCTCGGCTAGGAACCTACGTAAGCGGTCAGACCTGGCTGACTGCTCCTCCCAGCAGATGTCCGGGTAGTTTAGGTCACCCATGTTGACCGTATCCCGTGACTTAACTGCCTCCACAAGCTGACCTGAGAATTCCCGGTCCAGCTCTTCCCCTGTTTGGGGGGTCGATAGTAGCTACCCACCGTTAAGTCCCTTTCCCCCCAACCCCCTTGTATTCTAACCCAGAGCACTTCAGTCTGCCCCTCCTCTGACCCCATGCTTTTTGTTGAGGATATGTATTGCTCTTTGACGCAGAGCGCCACACCCCCACCTTTCCTCCTCATTCTTATCCCACCTGAATAGTCTGTAGCCCTTGATGTTTACCGCCCAATCATGGGTTGAATCCCACCAGGTTTCAGTGAGGCCCACTATGTCCGGGTTTGTATTAGGTAGCAGGAGGGCAAGTTACTCCTGCTTGCTCCCCATACTATGAGTATTAGTGTAGAGGCATTTAAGGCCTCCTATGGGTGCATGCACCTCCCCTCTGATTCCAGGACTATCTGGACCCCTGTCACTTACCTAGATACTTCTTGTGCTCGTCACCTGTCTTGGCTGGGAAGTGTCCTTGTGTCCCCCTGTGGCCCCATCCCCCAGCGGAGCAATTTCCATCCCCCAGCGAAGCAATTTCAAATTGCAATTTCTCAACTTTTGTGGAAACGGTGAAAAACAGCAGTTTCGGTGAGAGCTGTGAAAAACAGAAGTTTTCAAGATTTTGCACAGAATCACTGGAAAAAACAAGCTTACAAAAAATAAAATGCTGGCTTCCCAGTGGGAGCCAGCAGCCATTGTGGCCCAGCCTTGCAGCCTACCAGGGGGTGGGAAGGGGGAAGCCGTCGACACAAAGGGGAGCAGCTAAGATGGCCACTGCCCCGCCTTCCCTTTGCTGCTGATCAGCCAAGAGAGCTGCCCTTCATGCAGCCTCACTGCCTCTGTCAATCAGTGAGAAGGGGTGGGGCCACATGAAGGGCAACTCAGCCAATCAGTGGCAATGGGTGGGGTTGCTGGATTCCTTGGCCAACCAGCAGTGGGGAGATGTGCCACAAAAAGACCGCGAAAATGGTGCTAGGCACGAGTGGCCCACAATTTTTACTTCGCTTCAGTGCTATTTGAGTAGATCCTGATTTATGACTTCTGTGTCTTAAATCACTGATGCTGCACTTACAAATGGGTTTTTAAACCTACTGCTCTAAGAATTGACACAACATTTGGTTGACGAATAGCAGAAAGGCTTGCTTTAATAACTAAAAGTTATTAAGTTAATAAAGTAAATGATGGAAAAAGACTTCTTCCCAATATAAAATGAGCTATTAGTCCTTGTATTTTCTTAGCTGCGAAGACATCTTTATCCAGTGCAGGCAGGAAGCAGTTCTTGTACAGCCTCACAGTGTGGATCCTTTGCTTATTGGCTGGGTGGCAGGATGGCTTTTTGGTCTTCCCTGGACTGCACACACCTTGCTGGCAGTTTTGTCTTCCTTTATATTGTTTAATTGTACAGCTTTAAAGCATTTTTCCTTGATAGTTGGCCGATTAAAGTTTGAACAAAACAGGGAGAAAGAAGGTGACCATCATATTACAATTGTTAAATTGCCTGGATCCTGTTTTTGGATTTGTCTAGCTGTGAAGACTTATGTTTTTCACAGCCACTGCAATTATAGGTCAGTTACAGGTGACAGGTTTTGAGTGGTCAAACAGGATGCATAGAGGCATTGGTTACCGGACCTTCTTTGGGTATTTATTTATCAATGGGGCAAATTCACAATAGCTTGTACTGGTGATGGTTTATTTACAAAACTCCAGACACATCAAATGATTGAGATGTTTGTAACACCTTAGACCAGTCGTGGGCAATTATTTCAGGCAGAGGGCCATTTACCGAATTTTTAGCAAGCTATTGGGGGCTGCATGGGTAATCCTGCTCCTTGACAGATGCCCCACAGATGCCCTACCCCCTGGTCGCCATCTTGACAGGTGCCCTACTGCCTGGTCCTACCCCCTAACCTCTAACCCCTGTCCTTTGCCACCAGAAGTCTCTGTGGGGTGTGGGTGGGCATGGGTTTTGTGGGGAGGTGTATGTGTGTGTGTGAGGAGGGTTGTGGCATGGGTGGAGGGGGAGAGTTTGCCCAGCCTGCCCTCCCCGCCCCCCCACCAGTATGACAGGCAGAGCCCTTGCCAGCACTTCTGCAAGCCTAGGCTCTGTGGTCCTGCTACTCCTGGTCCTGGGGCACTGGCACATGCCCTGTGCTCCTGCTCACCGCCACTTGCCTCCAGTTTGCCACTGCTGCCCTTCTCCTGCCGCTACCCTGTCTTCCCCTTACTCTGGCTCCACATCCCATTTGCTCTCTCAGTCCCGGTGCTGCAGCTGAGAACCACATGGTGCAGGGGAGGGGCAGGGGAGAAGCAAGGACAGACTTACTGCTGTGGCTGTTTAGTTCTGCCACGAACTCTCCCTGGGTTCTACTGCCACTGGCTCCTGTCATCTTTGACAGGCAGCCAGGGACAGAAACATTAATTTTCTAAATTTTTAGGGGTCCCATAGGCCAGATAGAATGGCCTGTCAGGCTGGATTTTGTCTGCCTCTGCCTTAGATATTGGATGCCTGTTTTGAGAAATATGAGCATGTCACATACAGGACATTTTTCCTGTACCTTTTACAGGTTTTTCTTGAGATGCATATTTAGTCTTTTGTCGTCTTTAGTTGCTAGTTCAGTTAAAATGCATACGTAGTTTCCTTGCCTTCAGTGGCTCAGCCTTTGCTTTGGCTTTCTTAGCTTGGAAATACACGTGATGAGTGTGTCAGGTCTCTGCCAACAATTTTAACCATCACTTTTATTATTTTGTGGCATGGGTCTGGTATTGGGTACCTCAGGCTCCATTGTCTCTGCCTAATGGGTTGCAAGCCGTTAGCAGAATTTGATTTTCTTGCAACAGTCCTGTTACCACAACCCAGTCTTGCCCCAGCCATTGTCTTGCATTTTTGTGCAACAAACATTGTCCAATATTTCAGTTTTCATATCCAGCAGTCCCCTCCTTGTTGCGCACAAAGCATTTATGTAGCATCACTAAAACATTTTGTGTGTAAGTTAGTTATTAACACTGTTACAAAAGTGATAAATTTAATTTTAGTGTCACTGGGACTATATTACGATATAGCTGTGGCTTAACTTTGATAGGCTATACAGTTTACCAAGGCACAAAGATATAAAATTACAACTATTCATTAATAAAACATTGCAAAAACATTGATTAATAACAATACATTCCTATTTAACATTTGCCCAGACATTTCCCAGTTCCCTCATTTCTAAACTGCCATATGCTTTGGTAGAGAAAGCTTAGGTTGGAGTGGTTATTGAGATTGGAGGAACTGGGCTGGATATGTATGAGGAAACCTGAGCTGCAAGACTTGCATCTTGATTGAAGGGAAGGGAGGAGGCTGTAAAAGAGAATTCTTGGCTAAATTGATTGGCAATTCAGTATAAGACTCAAAACTGAAGGACTGCTTTGTAGAAGCTTGAGTTTACTATAGCTCCCTCTTCAGTCTCGTCTCCTAATCTGTTGCCTTTGTGCTTCCATTCCTCCCTCCCCTGCTACTCCCCATTCACTCTTGCTCCCCAGCTAGTCCTCCTCTTCACTTTTCCTTAATTACCTTGTCAGGCCTGGCTGCAATGGAAAGACTTGTATTTACACAGCCAGAATGTCAAGTGGAAGGAGGCCTGGGCAATGAATCATCATCGGCACTGTGAGTTGAAGAGGTGCATGAAGGCCTGGCAGGGATACCTGCAGCTCCGAAGACTTAAAAGGCATCAGGACAGTAAGTCAGAGTGGAGAGGTAGGACAGAATGACTTCCCTGACTGGCTAGTTCCTGGCTCCTGCTAAAAGTTTTCTGCATTAGAAAACATGATTAATTGTTTGGTGGTTCAGCTGAACTCCAGAGTCCAGGGCTCACTGGCTAGCAAGGGTTGCATGCTGAGCCATTGAGAGAAGTACCCAATATTCCTTTTTTATTGGAAGGATGGGTATGGTCTTGAAAAAGGAAAGCATTATATTGTCCTCTTGCAGTATGGCTTGCATCTGATGTTATCTATGAGGAGGAGGTCTGAGGCCAAGTTCAGGGCTAATCTGGATCCTTGCAAATAAGCAGAACAATGATTGCTAAAAGAAGGGGGTGTAAGGATTCTGCACCAAATGCTTCTCCAGTAGAGCTCTAATGAAATTCACTGAGATAAATTTGGTCTTTTGAGTGGATACCTAAGACTTGGTGATAATCCAGCCTGGTGCTCTGGGAAGTGGTAAATATGAAACCTTACAGTGCAAAGAAGCTGGTATGCACTGAAATGCATGCTAAACTGCAGATTTTAGGTCTGTGCTCTTAAGTGACAGAGGATTTGAGAGAGTGTTAGGGAGAGGGAAACCCTTGCTTGAAGTTGAAATGTTACCACACTGGGATTGCTTACTCACACCAAGAGGAGGAATATAGCCCGCAAGTAACTTAGTTACCAAAGCTGTTATGAATTCCTCTGATTCCTGATGATAGTAGAGTTGCTGTCACTTCAAGTAATGATGTACAAACTGTGGGCTCTAATCCTGATGCACACGAGGCTAGAGCAAGGATAGTTTTTCACTTGTAATGTTTGTTTGTTCTAGAGCTGGCCCAGAAACACCACCAGAGCCATGTGCTCCAGCAATGTTTCTCAAGCTGGCAGCTGGCCTGGGAGCACAGGAGAAGCATGAGAGTCCATCAGGAGTACATTGGTGAGCTAGCAGTAAGGAGTGCCTTACGGAGGGTCTTCACACACTGGAAGCATTGTATCCTTTTTGTGGGTCACCATTAAAGAAACCAGGCTCAGGGTATTTCTACAGGGAAAGTAGCAAGTGAAAGAGTAATGCAAGAAACAGCATTTGCTTCAAGAATTGGTAGGTGCAAGAAACACTTCCTGACTAAATGTAGGTAAGTCTGTGAGGAACAAACTCAGAAAGGAAACAAGACTTGTTGCAATGAAATATGCTAGTGTGTTTGAAGCTAAGAACCTGTGAAGGCTAAGATATGGATGGAGAGAAGTGCTCTGTAACATCATGCACAATAGTTTTTTTTTTTTTTTAAAAGACCCCCATCCCCATGCTGCATTCAAAATATGATGATCCCAGTTTGGAGAGCCCAAATGCTAAGGCAGGTTGCAGGAGCAGGTCTCTGCTGGTTTCTGAGGATTAATGGCATGTGTTGTGGGAGCCTGTCAGGATGAGGAGTTTGTGCAAGACCTTTTTTTTAACTCGACAGATGTGGTACTGCGCAGAGAAGAAAACTGGCAGCATGAGCTGGCCGAGAAGCATCACAAGCATCATCTGTTGGTAAGAACTTTATGATATCTCAGGTGAGCAGGAGCCTGGACTCCTTGGAAGTATTTCAGATAGTTGTGTTTAGGAGCATGTGGGATCGCATAAATGTTGAGTGCATTGGGTTAGAGAATTTTCCTCAGTGATGTGTTCAGTCACGCAAACTTCAACTGCTGTGGAATCTACCAGACTAGCTGTTCTGCAGCTCTTGTGTGCAGGGATGGTATAGGGACTCATCCTCCTATCTGGATGTGGAAACTCTGCTTCCCTCTGAGAAATTCATTGTTTTAATCAAGAGGCTTGAGAAGTAGCAAATCAGTCCTGACCTCTTGGGCTCTTCATGCACTCCCTGGCCCCCTTCATACAGAATAGCATTTTCCCTTTTTTATTGTTGGTGATATTTTTTTCCACCTTTGCTATATGTGAATGAGTTGCTGCCCCAAATGCCTGTGTTCCCTCTTACACTGCTGTGTTGCAGGATTCATGTCTGCACTCCCCTTTACAATAATCTCAGCATACACCAGCTTCAGAGTCCCTGAATTTGTCTCATGCCTTTGGGGAAAGTTGGGATTTCACATCTTATCCTTACCTCCCTCCCAGCAGACACGTTCTTTGAATTTTTTGAGTTACAGATCATTACGCGTGTTGAAGGTGAGGTTTTTCTGTAACATAGGCAAGCGGCTGTCATCAAAAAACATGTCCCTAAAGTCAGTGGAATTGTATTTTGAAAATGGCAGCAGTAGTGTAAAAGGGCATATAAACTTTTCAAGGCAGAATGTTGTTCTAGCACAATAATATTCCCAACATCAGAGCATTCTGGGATTTTAGTCCTGAGAGAGCATGGAAATTAAAAAGTTAGAATATTGGGAAAGGGGAAAGTGGAATCTCTTTTCCTAGGTGAGAAGGACCTTCAAATGGAAGAGTCTGTGGGTTTCTCTTGTTCATGGATAGGAGCAAATTGTCAATCTTCAGTTAGAGAAGATGGGCAAGGTACAGGCTTTGTTGGTTTCCACAAGAGAGGGGTAGGACCAGTGGCTGGTGGGGGGGCTGGGTGGGGA